TGTGCTCCTCCAGCTGACGGTTGAGTATATTTTGGAGCACCCTCGTCCCGACTCGGTCCATGAGGTGCCTAAGAATCCCATCCAGGAGTTTCTTTCGTTCAATACGGAAACAAGAGTGTCATCGGACGGGCCGAAGGTCGAACATTTCTTATCATGACGGTGTGGTTGAATTCACAAACAGGAATACTTGGACGTGTTAGCACTTCAATATGATAGAACTACTGCGTGAAGCCAAAAACGGCAGAAGACGTGAAAGTTACCCGGAGATGGTGGGTCGCCATTGAAGAAGTTATGACACCCTCAAATTGAAATCTCAGTTGTCTTTTATTTTAAGGACACGTTTCTTATCACTTTCCGGCTTATGTCCTTTGCCTCCTTTCATCTACGTACAAGACCTCAGAAACTGCCTCATCACATACGTATGTGGTACTCAAACCGCAAGGTTCCAGCATTTACTCAGAAATGTATCACCCGTCCAACCCATTCAGAAAAATCGAACCCGATCAGAATAGGATGACAACGCTACACTGAGGCTACATTGAAGATGGCGATAGCAAAATTTTGATGAAATGATGGCTAAATTTAGCTCTATGCGTCGTCAGGATGCCTCCTGTCATTTTGGCCCCAATATGACTTTTTAGATTGCATGTGAAAAATGGCCGGATAGTGGTAATGACTTAATTCTAATATTTTCCAATTTAGCTCAGCACTCTTTTGCACCTTCGTCAATTTACAGTCCTGAACGTCGAACTGTTTTCCGATGCCACGTACAATCTTACATTTCTTACGCGGGGCGTGTCAAAAGCCCGTTGCCAAATAATAAGTCAAAATTGGTCAATACTAGAAGTGAACATGTTCTGAGCAAAGATGGTCACCGATGGAGGACGAGCCGGATGATGGGGCTTTCTTGAACCATAAAGATCCCTGTCGAATTTGGAAAATTTCAACTTCTTTTTTCTTAGGAGTCATATCAAAGAAAAGGTAAAAAAAAAAAAAAACACTTCTGCTTGCTAAGCTCGAAGACTTCTATTGCAACGAATTCAAGGTACATGCTCAGAACGTCACCATTTCAAGCCAGCCATGCTGGCTTAAGCGTCACAACTTCATTCTGACAGACGGTGGCAACTTTAATCGCGCGCATTAGTGGTGGGGCACAAATGTTCTCGCAACTTAAAAGTAATATTCTGCAATCACGGCATATTAGATTAACGCTTCGTCCCTGATAAGAGTACTGCCACGCAATGGAGAGTTCCGCAGAAGCTTCGTTTCCGGAGGCACATGCCATCCACTACGTTAAAAAGGTGACGATATCGATTGCGAACAAGATCCGTCCGTGAAATTCTTCGGGTTTCCATTAACCCTTTTTTTTTTGGCAATCTTGTTTCAAAAGTTTAAATGGTCTAACATCGACTAGTACTTTTACTGTTCAACTGACCGCTGCCTTTTGAATATCCCTCCACCGATGATCATCTTCCCCAACCGCGTACTTTCTACTGATGTCAACCGTGGCTAAGTTATAACGCTGGCAACGGATATTAGACTTCCTTTATATCTTTCATTCATGACGACCGGGCTTCTGGTCTTCCTGGTGTTCACGAATAAAAATAGACTGAGAGACTTGCGATCTCGCGATCCTCCGTCGTATACGAAGCATCAGGAAGAACGTAAGAGCACGGCGTGACACAGCAGTGGACTGACTTGTAAGGTTGTTGTCGCTTGAAGAATTCTTCTTCTGCATTCCTGGCGGCATTTATATCCATCCCGCTCGCGATGTCTGCCTGCGATCTGTTAACAATTCCGATGTATCCTCGCTTCAAAGGGAAGACTTTGTTCTCCAAAACGGCCCGTGCATCTGTGCCTCGATCCATGAGGTCCAGCTTCGTCAGCACTCCGATCGTTCTCTCACCTGTAATCCAAATTCAAGAAGTCGCTCTTGGGTTGCTAAATGACCTGCTGTTCTAACAAAGAGGGACATTTTCATCGGGTCGAAAATAATATTTCGTTTCAGATAATCTTACGAATATCTATGAGCAGGGGTGGGGGAGGGGGGAGGTTCAAAGGGTCTGAACCCCCCCCCCCCAAAAAAAAAAAAAAAAAAACACTGGAGGGGGGGGGGGGGGGGGGGGAGTTTAAAAGGGTCTGAACCCCCCCCCCCAAAAAAAAAAAAAAAAAAAACTCTGCTCGTGATGGTATCTCTCTACTTCTCCATCCCCCTCTCCCCCGCGGATAGATATGAATAAACGACCTGAGAGCGAGGCTGGAAAGGCACAAAGATAGGAGGTGGAAGGTGAAGGTCACGTCAGTCACGTGTAGCTACTCTTTTTAGTAAAGTGAACCTGTCATGGAAAGGTCCTGCACATGTGAGGCTTCTGAATTTTTTCTGAAAACGGAAGGACGACGATTCAAATAAAAGGCGTGAGTCACGTACAGGTTAACGATTTGCTTTCCAGCTGCATATCTGCGCAGTGATATTTGGGCTGAATCCCGAAATTAATTTAGTTCATTTTAAGCTTTTTTTCAGCTATCGAATGTGCTTTCATCTTTTTGTGTTCCAATTCCGTTTCCGCCTTATAATAACATTTTTCTTTGTTTCATTTTCTTTGTTCGCGTCGTCTCGCGTTTTTGATGAATATATCTCTCCTAATCATTTGATGACGCCTTCTTGCAATCGGAGACATTTGAAAGGCCGGTCTTGAGAACTTCGAACCCCCCCCCCCACTCCCAAACTTTAAGGCTGGTTGCGCCACTGTCTATGAGGTATCCACGCCAAGCGCAGGAGAAATGGCCTATTATAAAATCTCGCTTCGAGTGCGCTTCCTCAGGATGCAAGTATTAATATGCTGACTGAATTGGTCGTAATTCATGAGAGGCTCCCGAAACATCATATATGTTTTGGGATTGTTTTGTTTCCAGATGCAACCAAGGAAAATCACGCAAGTGATTTCCATGCAATATATTGGCATTAAAAGAGTTTGCAAGTTGTTGAGGCTGCAATAATTTGTGTCATAGCCATAGGCACAGTCGATTGCTTTATGGTAATATCTCCATTAGGCAATCGAATCAACAATGGAACTCAACGAAACAATGCTGCCAACAATGGTAGATAAACTTTTCCCAGAGAAAGCATAATTTATCTGCTTGGTTCAATTAGAATGCTGATGAGGGCATGGAGCCAGGGCCGGATTGGGGGGGGGGGGGGGGGGGCAAGAATCCACTTTTCCCGGGCCCCTGGGGGCGGGGGGGGGGGGGGGGGGGGGGGGGGCCAAGAATCCACTTGTCCCGGGCCTCTCTCAACTTCTTAACCCAGCCCTGCATGGAGTGATTAAGGTTACGGTTCACAGGCCGCCGCTTCGTCAAAAATCCATCGAGACGGTGCTCGAGTAAAGGGATAATTTTTAGTGACAACAAAGACGGCTAGAAGGAGAGGAGCAGACCGACGCTCGTGCACGAACCGTCAGAGCAATAGTAGCCCCTTGCCTTTCTTTGAGGGCTTTCATGCGCATTTGTCTTCCACCTGCCTGCGACGCCCACGATTCAAAGCAACTTAGTCTGAGTTTCTCTTCTTCCAAACTTCTATTCGATGAGAAAATTTCTAAATCAGAAACGGCGTATGTATTTGCTGTTTCTCTGCTTGCAGCAGTTCTTTCAATGGGCTTTTATGCAGTACTTACTTACAGTGGCATATTTTACGGGGAGGCAAAGGGGGGGGGGGGGGGGACCCCCCTGGCACCCCTGGAACAGAACTTGGCGACCCCTAGGAGGTAAGAATTTTCTCCTTTGGTATCGTTCGGGTGGGGTTTGGCGTCCCCATTACGCTGCCCTGCTCACCCTTGAATCTTCAGCCAAAACACGCCACTGTTTACTTATTTCATTTCACGTACATGAATGTCTTGACGTGGAACTCGTCATGGTGGAAATGCAGATGTGAATGAGGGGGGAAAAAGACTGCCAGGCAGCTTCTTCCTGTCTCCATTCACACGACTATCGCTGCGGTAGGCCCAGGGATATCGCTGGATAGGAATGCGTGAGATTGCGAGGAATGTAGTAGCTCTCTCCATGGAAAGAATATGCAGGTATCTGAAGTGTGTGAAGCAAACAAAGGGCGTTTGGACTCGGTTTGTTCGTAAGCCAGTGTTCATCATGTCATGGAATTGTCCCCCCCCCTCCTATCCCCGCCACATTTCCCTATGCGCTAATTTTCCTGGAGTTTCGTCCCATAGTATTGAAATAAGACTCACCGTACGAATTTGAATGGCCCAGGTATCAGAGACCTCCCATTCCTCTTCGGTAAAGTGTGTCTCATAGCATTCCTAAAACACAACTCTGGAATTTGAAATAGCCACTCTTTGAGCGGATAATAGGGAATGCGTTTCGTCATGAGGGAACCCTGAAACGCCTGTATGCAAATTTTCAGCGAGGCACTTGCACGCAAGTGAGACTCGTCGTTTCGAACGCCCAGTTATTGGATGAAGAGCAGGGAATGATTTAGAGCTCTGCACGGGATGCGGATCGGATCGATCGGACCGACCCGACCCGCGGATCGGGCGTCGAGCTCGGTTGCCAATCGGTTTTCCTGTCGGGTGAGAGCGAAAACGTAGAAACCGAGTTCCGAAGCTAAGAGGCGTAAGCGGACTGAGAACTGGCTCGATCGACCCGACGCGATCTGCTGGTCGGGTCCCGTAAAGCTCGGTCAGCCATCGAGTATCAGGTCCGGCCTGGAAAAATGGACCCGTCCTGGCCTCCGGTGGATAGACAGTTAAACGTTAGCTCTTCTGTTGAAATACATGATTATAAAATGCATAGTACATAGTACCCTGCCTGAGTTATTCACGTTTTTTAGGGTACTAACACGAAAGAATCACCCTGTACTACGCTAGTCTCGCATTTCGCAACAATCTCCGGACGTGCCCGTGCAACAAGATGGCATGTTGTTGGAATACTTATATTCCGTCGACATATCCCTTATTTCGCGATGATATATCCCTTATTTTTTGTCGACGATTGAGACATTTTGATGATTTCTCACCAAAATTTCTCAGTTCTCGGGAAGAGGAAGGCGCGATCTTTCCGATATAGTTGGTTTTTTTTTTGCAAACACAAGGGGGAAAGGGAAAAACCAGGCAAGAACATGATCCCTTGGTTCCGAAGTCGGTCGTGTGTTTTAAAAAACCGGGACTGATTCGACACATCACGGCGCAAGAGCGCGCTCGCTGTTAAAAATCCGGTTGTCACATCTTCGTAGACGTCACAAAAGCGTGTGCGTAGAGACTGTCGTCCGCTGGAATGCAGTCATGTCATCGAACAGCCGTACTACCGACCGATTTCGTCAGAATCAAGATTGCAATCCTGCCGGATCAAGTGATGGTAACTTGAATTCAACGTTTATGGTCGGAATCGTCCATCACATGCATGTCATCGTGATTAACGTGACCTCTCGAGGGTGACAGAGGCTATGGGATATCGAATGGTCATGAGATTACCACTTGACGTCCTTGAAGACCCAAATTTTGACAACATACTCCAGAATTCGGCAGCGGTCATTTCTTTCAGCATCCCTGTCGACACGAAACGGTTTCTAAACTGCGATTGAATGAATGGAATTCTAAAAGAAAAATGCATACGAAGGATGTCCCGCGACATAATATCGGTGAGATTTCCATCGTAGGATGAAGCCAAGGTAGAACGGAGCTAGAACGGAGCTAGAACGTTAAGACTGAGAATGAATGGCCCGTCCAGTTGGTGGTGGGGCTGCTTCCCCACCTGTCCTTAAGGATGGGTGGGTGATGAATGGTCCACTAAATGTTCAAGTTAGCGCGAAGTTAAAGGGCTGAGTGTTTATTTTTTGCATTCAGGTACTTCGATGCTGGGATGATGAAGCAGAACGAGAATGTACACGGAGGCCAACAAAGTTATTCGCCGTTTATCATGATGTCATCATGGCAGTGATGTAGATAGAGGGAGGAAGAAGACCGTTGCAACAGGAACACGACATTCATGAAGTGGGGGGATTAAAGAGAAAGTGGGGGGCTTAGATACCTTTTTACCTGCAGTCACTTGCGAGAGCTGTCATACTGTAGAGATTGATGAGAGGCAATGATAATTCATCTGTTCAGTTAAAGGTAGTGGGATGTCGACCGATGGACGCTTGGATCCACTGCCTCCTCTCCCCCTCTCGCCTTTGTTCCAACCCTTCCTTCTTCGGAGGAAAAGGAAGGTGGACCTAAAAGACCTTAGACCCTAAAAGTGAGTCCTTGGTTACGCCATCGTGCAACCGAGGTGAAAGCGAGGGTGAGCGGTCATTGGGGCTGAGGCCGCCCCACTTGGCAAAACACTCGGCACGCCACGAATTCATTCGCGCAAATGTCTATTTTCTGGTTTTCAGGTTTATATCGTCTCATGAAGCGATCATTGAAAATCTAAGAAAAATCTAAGTACGCTCATTCCCCCCCAAAGGTCTTCTCCTTACATAAAGGCATGTGGGCTTTTTCGTCGAGGCCGTCTAGCGTCGCCTTGGGGAGGAGCTACCTGGTATGCCTTATATGAAGATTTCGTTTCAACGAAGTACTTTACTCTCATCAATGGACAAGCGTTTGAAATGATAAAACCACACTGCAAGAGCGTGTTGAAGAAGGAGTGGTCAAGCCCTGCACCCGTGAACCGTAATCTTAAGACCTATGAGAGATTCGAATTAGATTACCTAGGGTGTGCATGCCCATGAGCCTAATAAATCCCTCCAGCTTCTGTCTGCAGAAGCGTAAAATCCGTCTTCGATTATTCTTAAGTGGAATATTTACTCTTACGAGGCTAAATTTGACTCCGTGGGGAATTTGACAACTGGCGTCCCGTGGACAACTTGTCAGTCGTTTCTAAATTCAAGTCCTCAACTCTTCCCCGTCGGACAAAAAGAATTCATTCTACGTGGTTAAGGCTACAGAGAAGTAGGTGCGGTTCTAATACCCAATATCGTTCTTTAGGATCTTCCAAATGCGGAATTGAATGGATCTATGAGTTTGGCAAACTCAGTTTGACCGCTAGACGAGTTGCCCGACGATGCAAATGTCGGAAATACGAAAACGTCCAACATACCATTCGGATCAACTTGGCGTGCGAGTTTGAGTGCGTCGGAATTGGCCAGGTCCTCCGTCGCAGGGGTCACGGCCAGGATCAGGGTGTTTTCGGGCTCGATGTACTCGAAGACCATGTCGCGGATCTGGCGGAACGAAACGACTCGATCAAGCTCGATCCGGAGCAGGTTCCTCTGCCAATAATGACTTTGGAACTGTGAGTGAGCATGCAACTGCAAGTGACTGCAAATGCAAGCGATCTGAACTTAACATTAGGATTGCCATCCCTGAAACTCCATTGCGAGCCACGGTGACGACCACATGTTGGTCAAATAGGGAAAGGAAACAGGCATCTAAATGAAAGACTCTGTCTGCTCGTACAAGCCAGTCAGACGGGGCAATACTAGATCAACTAGATCTAGATCAATCTAGATCTATCATCTATCTATCTATCTATCTAGATCAATCTAGATCAACTTTCGCGCACGATGTGACGTTTTCTCACGGAAGCAGGATGTCTCGTGACCAAAGCTGGCGGCACGTTTTCACATCAGATTACTCAATATGTATGGCGCATGCTTTAGTAGCCTTCAACAAGAACGATCGGCCTGATGCCTGGACCTGTACACAGGGGTCCCTAGGACCGACATTTTTAGCTTGTTCTACCTACGAAGTACAAGCAGAAAGAGCTCTGAATTGGGGCATATAGGGCGTGACTTTTACATCAAGTATTCTGTTTTCCTGCATCGTTCATGCAAAATTTAGGCAGATCGCAGCGAAATATTATTTACAAACGGTTATTTGGTAGTATCCGTAGTTGTCCCTTGTCTCTGGAATTGTTGCTGATAAAAATATGGACAAGTTGGCGTGTACCAAGTGCGATCTTGGAGCTTGCCTCTAGATGATTTTGACCGGTCATGAGAATTTCTCGGAATTGTGTAGTGGATGACAATGAACGAAAATAGCCCAGAGAGACCGTGACACCTGACTTCTCGGATTTCGCCCGCCTTGAAAGGGGAAAGGTGCTTTCACATGCTTCCTTGGGGGATCCAGGCAATTGCTGGGGACTAGGTGCCAGATTCATACATTTCAGCGGAATTACAATGACTAGACGACTTCAAATATAGGTCATTTTTATGCATCTTTCGATATTGATGGGAATAGAATGAATAGAGCTCGTAGTTCGTAAAAATGAATTGATACTCACGAGTTGTTCAATGTTGTCGGGTTGATTCCCGACTGGGACCTTCGTCATACCGGGCAAATCGACCAGAGTGAGCTGAAGAACTGTGAATGAGACTCATATATGAGAACTAGACTCAGGTCTACGAACGCTCGGTGGATGACGGAATCGACATTACCGTGAGGGGAATAGAGCCTGAGGTTGATGGGTTTGGAGGAGATGGCCTTGTCTGCTGCTTCCTTGTCTGTTGCCGCAACAATCTCTTTCCTTACTTCCTCGAAATTTGTGAACTGTGTATTTGGCAAATGCAGGAACTCTGCGTACTCTATGAAAATAATGTGCAAAACAATCATTTCATAAGTGAACTCTGTTTCGGTGGATGGCAAGTACTAGGGAATACCAGCTGTATTGTGTATGCAAAAATGTTCATGAGCTCTTCATACAATTGTACTTTATCCGTCTTGCGACGGGAAGAGGGAATAAACTCGAAACAATAATCTTTCAGAGATTCACGAAATTAACTAAACGTAACATAAGCGCGAGACAAAAAAGCAGCTGCGTGAACTTGTTGAAGTGCCCTTTCGATCATTATTTTATTCGGGGGGAATATTATTAGAGAGTATTGACAATGACAGTAGATTCGCAAGCGTTTCCAGTTAACGTGCTCTAAGCTGAGAAGACGAATTTGTTCGTAAGCTTATCTACACAACACCACTACCCAAGCAGCACACAACTTAGGGTCCACGTTGGCTGCGAGTGGGGAGCGTGGGTCCCACCCCCACAGCACCCCAAAGTCGGATCAACATACATTGCTGCCTAGCAAAATATATTTTGGTTCAATATTGGCACCCACCCCAGTAGCACCAGATATTGGCTCAATGTAACCAACATTGGTTATGTTGGTCAAATGTTGGCCCTGCATAAGGCCAACATCGTGTGCTACTGGGCCATCTTCCTCAGTAGCACCAGATATTGCCTCAATACTGGGCCAACATAAGGCACGTTGGCTACACCTTGGCCAGTATATCTGATATCGGCTAAATATTGGCTCCCCAATATTGCCATTCCATCATTGATCCAATATTGGACCGACGCAATGATCCAACGTGCCCAAGTTTCACTTAAAAGGATTTGGAAAATGTTGAAGTTCTCTCCCAGGCCACTAAATGGAGGTATGAGTCTCGCTTTCCGCTCAGTACGTTAAAGTGTCCTTCCCTCTTTTCAGGGAATCGTCCCTCACAGGAGTGTTTAGTACCTCGCCATATGTCTCGCCTAGTCCCATCATAGGAATCAATAGACCGGGACGCATATTTTGAAACCTTACTCGTGTTCGAACACTGGGACCGTAACAGCCAATCAAACGCTCCCAAAATGTCATTATAGGAAAATGGCGACTTCCATGTTAATACAGGTTCTAGCTCTACCTGAAAAGCAGGAAGTTAATGTTTTTGAGTAGCTCTTGGTTGGACTTGGGTTTTCCCGCCGTGCATCACCAGAACAAGGCAGACAGATCTTACCGTGTTTCCAAGATGAGTTTTCTGAATAGGCCCAACGTTAGGTGTAGGTTTCCATGAATTATGCAATCAAAAGCAATGCTAATAATTTCGGAACCGGCAAAATTGTTTATGAACTCAAGTTTCAGATCTACAGTGTTGGATCCTTTCACATTTGCAGCATAACCTATTTAATATCTTAAACTTTCAGAGGTTTCCCTTCGCAGAAAGATGGTAGGAAACTGTAGGGACTATGATGGCAGAAAATTCATTGGGGAATAGAACTGGATGCATGAAATAAATCCCACCAAGTGAATTTTATTAATTAACCAAGAATGATTAGAAATAGGCAGGAAAAAGTGTCAATGCTGAACAATAAATATGTCTAAAGAAGAATATGGCTTTTGTGATCAAGAAACATGATGTGGAGCTTCATTTTGCATATATATTTTTAAACTGTGTGGAAGACACCCAATGCAAAGAATGCCTGGATGGTAGGTTATGGATAACCATAAGGTTATCCATTCATGCACCATATGACCCACATTAAGATACATTTTTAGCCACACAAAGCCACAAGGGATCATTTCTTACTTTAACTTCCATCAACAATTTCATGAGTTGTTTTCCTTTTCCCAATCCTCCTTTGGACAAATGAGAGATATTCTTTGAATTTCACTCCCATACTTGCCCTGGTTACAGAAAATTTAAAAAAATTAGCATGACAATCCATTTCATACATGAGTTGTTCACTAAAAGAACAGCTAAATAACTGGATTCACCCTTTCAAAAGGCTTTACAATCAAATTAAGTATCTGCCATCTAATTAAATTTCAGAATAGTTTGATTTGATTTAGAGTTAGAGTTAGGGTTAAGGGGTGAAGTTGATGGCACTTGGGTGTAAATGGAACCTTTAGGAGAATATATGAAGGGCCTGGATGTGATAAAGTGCTAACCCTGGGACATTGGCAAGGAAGTATCTTCATGCTCATTCATGCAGCACTTATTGGACATAAAAAAGGATACATTAAGGCAAGCAACTCCAAAATATAGTTTTGCTAGAACATGGTGATCTATGAATGCTAAAAGAACCCAATGACCTGAGAGCAACCATTTCTCATGCATTCTGGTACATCATCCTGACAATGTCTACTAAGTACTTTTTGTCACCAGTGGATTAGGTGATTTAAAATACTTTTCCTCTGAAAATGTATTTCAGTCCTTCAAGCCATACGGGGTGAATGCATAAATCAGATGTCCCATTATGCCATGTTACCAAATGTACATTATCATTGAAAACGTAGTCACTACAAACCAGAACCAAGACTCACATTCCTCACTTGCATTACCTTCAACCTCCTGATGCTTCATTAAAAAATATGACTATTAGTCACTAAGCTAACTGAAACCTTGGCCTAACTTCACATCTCTTTACATTCCATCGCGTAACCAATATTTTCTTATGTTGCATAGGCCTAGTGTCATGGCGGTGGCAGTTACGAGAAGGTTGGCCTGCGTTGAGCTGTCCAAGTTAAGTGAGAAAACCATAGGCCCATATTCTTTTCGAACTCAGCTATATGTTCAGCGACCTGTTTATTCGTGAGTTGTGCCTGATTCGCTTGAACTTGCAGCGGCGGGGGTAGCACATGACGCCATGGTGGAATTTGATTGGCTGTTCCGGTCCCAGTGTTCGAACACGAGTAAGGTTTCAAAATATGCGACCGGGACACTTCATTACTTGCTATCCCCATTTTCGAAACAGAATCATAAAGCCCAGGCCATAAACAAGCTCACCCCAATCACCACCATGAGAACCCCTTACAATAATAGATTCACATTTTCCAAAAGACGTGAAGATAACTTGAGAGAGCCTGCAGGCTCCGTCCATTGTTTTCTCATCCTCCAGGGAAAAGGAGGAACTGAACTTGCAGATTCTCCATTGGACATGAAAGGATGGATCTTCCCCTGTCACGTACTATTCTCTGTCTCCCGCCCATTCATGGTACATACATGTACATGGGTAGGGTGTTACACTACATGTAGTACTTGTACTGCAAATAGAAATGTCTCCATCAAGGTCTTACCTCCACGGATTAATTAAATTTAGAGCGAATAGCAGCACCAATATTGGCCCCAGTAGTAATCCCAACAATGGTTCTAGATGGGTGCCAATACTGGGCCGAGATGTACAGTATATTCCTCGGCAGTCGATGTTGATTCAATAGGGGGTGGTACTGGGGTTAAGCCTGTTGTACACTATGATATTTCCATAATTGAATCTATAAGGAAATCTATAATTATATTCCTTGAATTGCACCTGGCTGTGTACATGGTCATATTTTTGCAATCAAGTCAGTAATTGCATAATGTAATTATAGAAATATCATCGTGTTCACCAGACTTTAAACCATTATTTCGAATGTTACTCGGAAGAGCATTAGGTTGATATTGGCCCTGGCCTGGACCGAAATTCTGTCAATATTGAGCTATTGCATTCATCATTTCGTAACATGAATGTCAATTCATTACCCAGTCCTCCTTACATACATTCATACAGCATACATGCAGGAGAAAATTCCAACCCAATGTACTAGGACCCTGACCACGGAAAGGCAAGAGATAATATATGCATCATGAGTTGATCGGCCCCTGAAAGTACCGTATTTATTGCGTTTCAAGGGATGTTTCACCTCTTAAAGCTCTATGAAGTGTTCGGGTTTTCAATTCCTAAAATCCTCATCTCTCCTTCAGAATGAGGAAACAGCGGATAGGGGATCACCAATGTAGCACCCAACCCCGGTAGCACAAGATGTCGGTCAACGACCGACATACCCAACGTTTATCCTGCATTGGACCTCCCATTGCCCTGTAGTAGTAAATGTTAGATGGTAAGACCAAGATTTATAATGGTTTCTTATTGGGAATATGAGCATGTTCATGGCCTGGACTCTATGAATTTGTCTCGAATATGGGGATAATAAATAGTGAAATGACCGCTTTTATTGATTCCCCCCGAGACAAGGCTGGGCACATGGTGGCGAACTAAACACTACTGAAAGGGACGATTTCAGGGAAAGTAGTAAGGGGATTTTTGTGTATTGTGTGAAGAGCGAGACCCACGCCTCCATCTAGTGGCCTGAAGGAGAACTTAACTATTTCACATTGGATCATCACATATGTCCGATATTGAACCGGTGATGGAATCGCAACATTGGGGAGGCTTCGCCAATATTTAGCCGATAATGGCTATATTGGCCAAGGTATAGCCAACGTACGCAACTTCGGTCCAGCGTTGGGCCAACATCCAGTGCTACTGAGGTGAGGGTAGGGCCAATGTTGGTTCCCAACGCGGGGCCCACATCGCAAATGTTAAATTCAAACAGGCCCAACGTGGATATGCTGCATGGGAAATACTGCAAAAGTACGTACATTGCAGCGTGTACTGAACGTATGCAATGAAATTAGCAGTATCTTTCGATAGATTGATAGACTGGTGTTATTTACAAAATTACACGAATCCATATTCATTGTTTCTCCTCTTTAATCCGTTGGGACCAATGATAAAAGAATATATGATAATTTTCATTTACATGTTGGAGTTTTCGAATTCCTGGGAATGGTAGCTTATCTGTAATATGAGCAATAAATTATATAAGTTTATTTACGTGACGGAATATATTTCTTGCCCTATCAAAACGTACCTATTTGTTCTCAGTTCAAACAAATATTGCTGAAACAAAAATTAATACAGTAGACCTGTAATTTCCAGCCTTAATATTAACCATCAAGGCACCTATTACCGTCGTAGCATGTTTTCAAATATACGGGGTACTAAAGCAAGGTCTGAGGCTTTGCGGACTGTCATGAAAACAGAGCAGTTTCGGAAAAATATTGTCCTCACCTTGGTGGAGAGGAAGAATTTCTTACCTTCGTCGTTGGGTATCATTTGAAGGATGAGAGGACGTCTGGTGACGATGCCAGTGCCCCTAGGCAAGAAATCCCTGCAACATTCAAGAAGAAACGCTGAGAATGTGGGAAAATGGAATGGGGCGTCTGATGGATGAAGGGGGAACGGTGAAGCGTTTCGTGCACGTACCTGCCAGCAACCGCCTCGAGGACGGAAGACTTGCCAGCACTCTGTCCGCCGACGACGGCGATCATGGGGAGCTGAAGATTGAGACTTGTCGAGGTAGAGGAGAAGGCGTCTTGGAGCCGGTTGATCACCATAACCAGCTCCTTCATCCCTTCGTTTGTTGCCATCATCATGATCGATATTTTCTCACTCCTGCCTCACTTTTTGTCTCCTTCGCGTTTTCTGCAGGACCTTTCTCCTCGTAGACCTGCTACTAAGGAAGGAAAAAATGACATCCTGATATTTGTTCCAACTTTTGTCCTTCCTGATGTCTAACAAAAGGAGCATTTCGTCGGATAATTTTCCTCGCGATTATTTTAAAAAGCGCAATACGCAGAAGCTGCAGTTTTCCAGGACACATTGGACCCCAAGTATCCTCAGAAAAAAATTATAAATAGAGGAGTGTGGACAGACTTCCTCTCCTTTTTTTTTAATTCCTAATTCAACAAGCCCATCTAAAATTTCGGTTCTTCACATAAAAATAGGCAAAATAAGCTCTTCGTCTACCTAAGTCCTGGGAAGATAATTACCATGTTTTGATGAGCAAAGTCTGAAATTGAATATCTTATGTATTCCCAGGCGACCTTCTTTCCTTGCTTTTTTGGGCATGGTTCTCCTTGGTCTCTATGTTTGTCTTGCATTCCCGTGGGTACTATGGGGAAATGCCAGATATTGCAGTCGGTTTGTCACTTTTTTTCTTTTTCATTCCGTCTGTCCGCAGTAACCATAGCAACCGGACAACACGACCCAATGCGCACGCGCAGCTTTCCCCCTGGGTCGGGGTGCCATTCTTCCACTCGAACATCCACTTCCCTTCCAGCCCTGGCGGTTGACAAATCCATAGTAGAGAATGGAGGAGAGCGGCTGCTCCCGGCCGCGTAGACAGGGTTGTTAGGCGCACGCGTGAAATGCCGTACCTGGCATCCTACACTCGATATTGTCCTCCCACCTCCACGCGACGCGGACGCGGGGACCGTCGAGATCATGTCTAGATGCCCAGTCTTTTTCATATAGGCCTATGCAGAACCAATGAAAGCTATTATATTCATCTCGAGGTTGAATGGTTAGGATGCAGTGAATATATATAATAGTTCAAGTGGTACAGGGCCAGTGGAATGCCAGATTTGTTCCTGGGCTGGTAATCTAGTTCAGAGTTATGGATAGCTTCACGACAGGAAAATGACCGGAAATTGTCCACCCTACTGCCTACCCCTTCCTAATTTTACTCCGCTGGCAAGTATCGAAGGGTTCTCCCCGAACTCTTGGAGGGCATGAGTTTAAAATACATGGCCATCGAGGAGAGTTGCTTGCGAACTACTGGAGGCAGAGACACGAAATTGCCAAGGGAGACACAACTCACAATGTCACGACGGGATGAAACATTGGAAAGAAACGCCAGTCACATAGAGGGCGCCACATTGTTCAAAATTGAGTCCAGACTAATCGATAATGGAATTGCTTGGACTCCCTGCCGCTTCTTAGCGAGATCACCCGGTCGGAAATTATTGGTTATTTTTATAGTCCTGGAATACGACGCTTCCTTATTTCGGGCTGCGATACGGCAAAAAAGTATCTGCCCGGAGAAGTTGCACGTTTCAGGTATGAGCATCGCTCAAACCCGCTTGTCGAAGTCCTGAAAATTTCGCGACCTACTGGAATCCAGAGCGAGGCATTTTCAAAGTAATTATAACGGGAAGAAAACTCAGCGACCTCGCCTGTCGTGCGTGTTTTTATCCTGAGCGAACGCGGACAAAGATATTTTTCATCACGGGGAATTTCCTCGCGACCCACCGTTGGGGAACCGCTGCTCGATGCCTCTCTCGTCCCTTTCGGGACTCTCAACACGGCTTTAGGAGGCGTCGAAATTGTCTCACCAATTTGCTCGAATTCTACGACTGGGAGACGGAAGAGACGGATGAGGGGAATCCCGTGGAGACCGTCTATTTAGATTTCGCGAAAGCTTTCGATACCGTTCCTCACAAGAGGTTGCGGGTTAAACTGGAGGCTCACGGGATCCAGGGTAGGACGAGCGAGTGGATCAGTAGCTGGTTGGCAGGACGAGAGCAACGGGTGATGATGAATGGGGAAGCGTCGAAGGAGGTCGGACGAGCAAGCGGTGTCCCTCAAGGCGAGGTCCTCCAACCGNCCCCCCCTCGTCCTGCCTACGTCCCCGAGAGGTGGTCATTACTAAATTAACGATTTTAACTGTATTCTTTAAGTGGACACGTACTACACTATTACCACCTCCGCCACGTGTGTGGAAACCGTGACAGCAAATTCCCTGTTATCTAAGTTTCCAACCTAATTCCATGCCGAAACCCATGCATCTGTCCGCAGTATTCTTCGAGCCTTCTAATGTAGTCATGTGTGATGTGAATACGAGTGCACTCGTAATATAATTAATTGGATCTATGGATAATTGAAGGCCGGCAGAAGCTCCTCGTCTTATTGCTGCCGTCCTCACAGAAGATGGAGTTTATTAAGAAATTAAATACAAAGCAATCCAGAATGCACAAAAGAAGCACGGAGGGCCTTCCTTGCCAATCGTGCCAAGAAATCAAAATGTGTCGTTGGAATTCCAGCTTCAGCGGTTGGGATTTCCGAAGCCTCAGGCGTGATTTCATTCCGTACAGGCATGTGCCTTACCATATATTATTCGTCCTCTTTTGCGTCTCGTTGCGGTCCGATGGGGGAGTGCCGTTCACAATAGTGTCAACATGTTAACAAATGCATAGGAATTTATCATTTCCTACTCTCTTTTAGAGACTCCTTGATCGTCGACAAATAGTGTGAAACATTTCTCTATCCCACCCAGATCGCGATCAAAATCAGAGTACCACCGAGGAGAGATAAAAAGAAAAAACTACAGAGAGACAGACGAAGACGTTATTTCAATGATGATCCCCGAGATCAATAAATAGTAGGGGAAGAAGAGGCCACTCGGGGACAGAATTTCCACACGACGTGAGCGTACGCGGAGCCGTCCTGAGACGCGTGAGGAAGCTCTCGGCCCCCCGTCAGAAAGTTCCAGACGTGGAGGACGAAGAGATCCAGGGTCTTCATCTCGTCGAGGACCGTGTCGCGGGTTCGAGGATCCGAGTCGTACAACAGGGACACGTTTTGCCACAACATCTCGATATCTGTCAGGCGCTTGACGGTCAGGTCGGTGAAGTTGGCCGCTCCGTAGGAATCCACGCCGATGGGCTCTTCTTTCTGGCTCCACTTACCGAAAACCCGTCGAAGCATGGTCGGTCCGTTATAGGCGTAGAAATCCGGTCGATAATCGGTGATGAACTCATTAATGCAATCCCAGAGATAAGGATGTCCCCTTTCGAAGCACAAAGCACCGGAATCCGCGCTCCCGAGCTTATTCCCCAAGCAATTCACGCAATCCATGGGCTTGAAGACGACGGTGTCCAAGTCGTAGTAGACACCACCGTAAAGGAAAAGCAGGAGAATGCGAGTGACATCGGAGAGGTGCATGAAGGGCCACTCGCTCGTCCTCCACGTTCCATTCCGGTACCATCCTTCCAGTCGCGTATCCTTGTAAAAGGCATCGGCATCCAAGTGTAAGAATCGAACGTTGGGATAGGAGGTTTGAAGGGCCCATGTCCACGGACTCTGCTCCAAGCTCTTCGACGTGGACAATAAGTAGATCTCCCGGTTCGGATACGCTCGGGCTGCAGATTCCATGGCGCAGCACTGCTTCGAACTCAGGGCACTGTGATTGTAAGTCTCGAGGAAATACACTTGACCCCCTCTGGGGCCAGTCCCAGGGGCCATCTTCTCCAAGTAGAGACTCGACCTCTTATTCTCCTTCGGCTTGGAGACAGGATTCTCTTTTGGCACGAAGACAGGATTCACGCTGCGAGGAAATCGTTCGTCACCGGCGAGAGTGGTGGACGAAAAGAACCTGAAGAGTTGGATGATTGGAATCAGGAGAGCGATGTAAAGGAAATAGACCCCAAATCGCCTGATGGACATTCTGCCGTCGAGAGTATCACACGCAATGTAGGCTGCCGGCAATGTGGCACGTCGTAATGAAAAAACTGTTATGAATATGAGTAGTATCATTCTGCTGATAACTCGTGCGGCACAGATACGTGGATTCCACATGGAATTAGGTTGGAAACTTAGATAACAGGGAATTTGCTGTCACGGTTTCCACACACGTGGCGGAGGTGGTAATAGTGTAGTACGTGTCCACTTAAAGAATACAGTTAAAATCGTTAATTTAGTAATGACCACCTCTCGGGGACGTAGGCAGGACGAGGGGGGGCGTTATCACGGAAAAAGCCCCCCTCCCCCCCCTCCCAGCGTCCCACCAGTCGTCGGTATAGTACGTGTCCATTTGGTCAAGACCATCCCTGGGTCCACGTTGACTGCGTTAAAAAAAAAAATTAAGAACTCAAAAAGGTCGAAAGCACTGAAGGTTTTCAAGTCCGGGATGGATCATCACACTGGGTACGCGTATTGCCGTCTGATCTGAGCGTGGATGTCCCAGAACGGAGTCCCGTTGGGATGCCCTCTCCGCTAACGCTCGGCCAAGTGTGAGGTCGATGTCGCATTCAAGTTATAACTTTGGTGTGAAGTGGGTACCGAGAAAGTTCTTTAAATAAGGGAATTTCTTTGTGACCTCGTTTGAACTTCGGGATGGACACTTACTATACTGATGGCAGGGGCGCACGCAGGGAGGGGGGGGGGCCTCAGGGCATTGCCAGGTCCTTAGCCCCTGATTAACACCCCCCCTCTCCCGACTCGTCAGCCTCATCGCAATCACCTCTCCTCATCCTGCGTACGGAGATGAAGGAGAAGAACGGTTTCCCGAAGTGAGGTGTGTACATGTATAAGTGCTTACATGTGCTACGTGGGAACCAGCCGACGCCGCATATAAACCTCGCAAGGCAAGCTTATGCAAATTTACATCGGAAAAACGTTTACAAAGAGCCGAGGTGCATTAGACTGCTGCAGCCTGTAGCTGCAAAATAATTACCAATTTCTTCTCTCTTCTCAGTCTCCATTTGGCGCTTGACAACATAGTATAAATGAGAATACATTGGATACCAAAACATCTCCATAAACCTCCTTCAAAGTTTGACCACCAAAATTACTTGGCAGGCAAGCGACTGTCTTCATCTCTTCACCTGCGATTACTTCTTAGGCACAATATGAACCTATATTTGGTAGGTTTTCTAATGCAGGAGGCATTAGAAAACCTACGCACTCCAATCGAGCCAGGTGATTTTCACC